ATCGTTCCTGGAGAGTTACACCAGTACTAGACTACCTTCCTCTGTGCTAAACTACCAAAGCATCTCCCGGGGATCGAACCCACGCCAGAGAGGTAATGGATTAGAAGTCTCGACTCAAACCCTCGACCACGGAGGCGGTCGTTCCTAATGATATAACTTAGCACCTGTTTATCCTATGTAGACTGTACACCAAAGCAGTTTCATGTCTTCTCCAGATATATTCATTGATCGTGTTTTATTTTGCCACATGGCCTCAATGTTGCATTTGCGGAAACTTATGACATAAAACTTTTGTTGACGAACAGTATACACAGAAACATTTAGTGCATTCGTTGGGTTTTATAATGTCAATATGATTTCGCACAAATTTAATTAGGAACTAAAACACGATCAAAACCAACGTTATATAACCAAATTTTTGTGCAAATGATAAGCGTACTATGCTTCATAATGATTTACACACTTATTGACTAATAAAATACGCTTAAACGTGCCGTAATTAAGCACAAGAAACACACTGGCAGTAACAAAAGTTATCATAAGAACTCCAGGACATATTTTGAGTTATCACAAGAACTCCGTAACATTTGAAAAATCAGGTATACATTTATTAGCCCGGGCTTTATGTTTGCAACTCTCTACTATAATTAGGTGATTATGTATAGCAACGAAGAAGATCACAAATGAAAAAGTCAATATGTACGAATTAGCAAGAGATTTGGAAATTTTTCTCAAAACTACCAGATTTTTTTAAACGGCGACGAAATATGGACTAAAATATTTTTTTCGGAAACATAATACAATATGTAGGGCAAGCTTTATGATCAAAGTTTAATTTAGCACCTCAAACTCCCCATTTAAAGTTAAAAATAACCATTTTTTACGCGAGTTCTCTAAGTATATAGAAAAGTTTTCCACAGAAATCCTTAACGTTTTCCAGGAACTCCGTGACAGTTATCATAAGAACTCCAAACAAGTTATCATAAGAACTCCTTCCTTCGTGTAACACTTCCTCCCCCGTGAATAATATCTGTCTGTCCGTCACAAAACGTGTCTGGACTACACCCCAGAAACTACTGGTGCAATTTCACTTTACAAGAATGATCAATACCAAGTGTAGTTGTGCATACGGTTGACATTTTGCAGTTCAATAATTTTTGTCAGAGTAATAGCCGTTAAAAGTTATTTTTAGTATCTACTCTTATACCACTTATGTTATTTCACGGAAACTTTACAGGATCGATTGGCTCATGCACATGCGCATTGTACAGGAATTTTCTGTTTGAAAGGTTTTGGCTGAGTTATGGTCCTCGATTTAAAACTGGTTTAAAATCCCCAGTGGTGGTACCCCTCTGTTTTCCTGCCTGTAATGATACATGTTTTGAATGTTTACAAGTTTTGTGGTGTCTGTCTTGTTGGATTATCGTTAACGGTTGGTATTTTATACCCCCTTCCCATTTCTAGCACCCTCCCCCCTTTCATCCTTACAGTCCCTATCCCTATTTTATTTCACACATTACTTGTACCTCTCCTTTTGCTGCCCTTATGCCCACTCTCGGTTTTGGTTTGGTGCTTTCTGGGTGCCCTGCTTGGATGTGTCAGGGGTTTGCATCCTGTTAAGTTGCCTTGCCTTATTGATCATTATCCTCGTTTTTTTAAAAAGGCATTTTATAATTCTGTGATGTTAAAAAGTCTTCAGGAATAATTCTTTTCAATTTAAAATCTTTGTATTGAACTGCTGCGAGCGCAAATTGTCCGTTCTATCGTCTTCAGTTAATACGATTTTGTAATTGTAAGTAAAACGTAACATAAAGTGATCGGGAAGTCTACCAGCGATTGAAACTTAAATATGTGTACTATTGATTCCACTGAAATAACTTCAAAATTCTCACAAGCTTTCAAACAGTCATGTGGAACGCATATATAATCTACAACTGATTTATCATTATTTGATACTGACTTAAAATTATCTGTGTCTTTACAAAAAAAACGGCCATTTAATACACACGTTTTTGAATCGAGAAGAAATTCTATAAAGGTATTTCCGTGTCGATAAACAGTTTTGACGAAAAGCGATCTTCAAGGAATTCCATTCACATTCGAAATTATATCTGAAAATTTCCCGATTTTTGAGTTGACGTCCCCAAAAACAAATTTTGCGTCTCTCTCTGATAACAGGTAAATAAATGTGCAAAAAAGTCCGTTGCGTTGCGTCCCCAGGGCGAGTTTTCTGTGAAAGATATACAGAATATATTACAATTGAGTGGCTGTTAGTCATTGACCTAAATGGAATGATCCCTAATATGCCGTCATATGCCTTATCAATGACGTCAACTTTTAATTCATTGATCATAATAATCTTTCCTACACCCCGTGAACCTTTTGTTGGATTTACTTAAATTGATTTTCTATTGTGTACATAAAATCGATAACCTTCAACATTAATGGTTTGATTGTTTTTCATATGGGTTTCATTAACACAAATGACATCTGATTCAGTGTGAGCAATCAAATTAGATGTCAAAACGTGATTTGATTCAGTTCAGTCAGCTACATTTAACTGTGATATCAATATGGATTGTTCAGTCAACCGGTCGTTGGATTAACTGCCGCCACTTTCTGAACGACCAGTTCTATTTTGCTGAAGCTAAAAATTAAATGAATTTACGTATTTGATTTAGATCTATACTTGGACAAAAGAAACTTTATAACAAAGCTGGGACAAAAATGAAATTGAACAAGAGTGACATGGACCATCAAGGCCAAATTATATAAATTTATTAACAACTATAGATTTGATTCATACTTGGACAAATGAAAACATATAACAAATCCTTATATTGAATAAATCAAATGTGACCTTGACCTTTAAAGTGGATTTGGTCTTCAATTGACACATTTTCCATAAATTTCTCTTATATTGAAAGAAACAAAAACAAACAAAAATTATTTCTTGTCTTGTTATGAAATATTTCTTTGTAGAAGTTGATAAGAGTGGTAAGGGACTTAGTATGATAATTTTCTGGAAAATGACAATATTCTGCTCTAGAACAATTTATTTTCTGATATTTTTATAGATATATGATTTCAAATTATATGTGTTACACCAACGACATTCATATAAATGTATTGTGTGGTTGCTGTCACTTTTGATACTAAATACTGAATACTATCAATAAATTCATCTATGGTAATGGTATTATATATTTTTATAATGGACCAACTTATTTTTAAATTGCTTTGACCATCGACGTATAATTATCAAATTTAGCATTACATTGCCATAGCTTTGTTATAAATTTACTGATTTTAAGCAAAATTGATCAAAATAACAAATTGAAAATTTGAAAAAAAAAATATATAAAAATAATGTATAAAATAATGACCTTGAATTATAAATTGTCTTGACTGTCAAGGTCAAATGTTGGTGTTTTGCTGAAATTGTCATATATGTGTTATTCATTCATGAATTATAATTATTGTTTCGCAAAAGTACACTTACGTAAAACAGCAGACATTATGATTATTCAAGTATGACCTTGACCATCAAGAACAAATTTATCTTATATTGTCCTTACTTTTGATAAGTCGTTCATTATTATAATGGACAGGTTTGATTCATGCTGTGGCAATAGAACACTGAAAATACCGGGAGACAGAATGATTTAAATATGACAATGATCTATGGATCACATTGGTTGTCAAGATCAAATGTCATGTTTATCCGTTGAATGGGTTCGGTCGATTTTTTACCAAAATTCGGTTAGAAAATTATATAACCTGGAACGAGATAAGTAAAAGACCAGCATCTGAAAGTTTAAAAAAGGGGTTTTAACATTAATTCTGTTTCTTTATGACAAGATGACATTATCTTGTATTTCAAATGTATTTTTTCCGATTACATGCTATCTTATCGTGTACGGTAGGGTCCTAACAGACAACAGTTTCTCAAATGTCATATATGTTTTGCAATTGTTGTCGGGAAGTAACAATATACGAAAAAAGTGTTATCTATCATAAAAAAAAAACAAAGTAAATGTTTGATATCTAAGAATTATTAAAGTACCGTTTAAACAAATACATATATGACTTGATTACCGTGTTAAAGATCCTGTAACACATTTTTTGGCTTTAAATCATAAATATGGTGTTCAAATTAAGATTTATTAATATTGTAGGTTCCAAAAAGCATTACTTATAAAGATATTTCCGAATTTAACATTACATTTTAATAAAAAAAATATTTTCTATAACGTTTAAGTCAAATTTTACAATAAGAAATGAATGCTATATTTTAATGATTACATAATTTTATAAATATGCACAATGTTAATTTCCCATATTGGAGTTGTTCTTACTTTTAATGCAAATGTACCACGTGACTAAGAATTTTTTAATGTTACATAGGTAGCAGTACTTGTCACATTATAACATATGGTTACTTCGTTTAGTGTCTCAAAAATAAAATGGCGCCTTTTTTCCCCCGAGGCAGCCTTTGATATTTCGACGTTTACACAAAGTGACCGTGACAGCCAGAGAATTTAGTTGTTTGCAGCCTAGTGTGTTTTTCGTGTCTACGATATCTTTTGTTTGAATAGTCAAACAATAGACTTCCGTTTTCATCATCAGTTACTGTATAACAATAAGTATGTGTCATTATTTAACGAATTTAACCAGTTAAACATGACAGGTGCGACAGGCAGATCTAAAACACTACTCATACTTAGGATGCCGTATTTTCACATGGTCAAAAATGATATTCATTATGGGGAGTATAAGATCAGAATACATAAATAATAACCGAATTAAGTGATAAATGGTTTCTAAGTGAAATACAACTTTGTAATGTTTTATGTCTAGTAGATATTATCATTTGCTTAAACAATAAGATAAAAGCACACATATAACTTGTAAGTTAATTTAGCTATGGTTGATAATGGTGTGTAAGTAAAATGGCATTAATAATCGTTTTCCTTAGCTAATGTAGATTCATCACCAAAATGTCTGAAAACTTGAGGATTTCAGTCACAGACAAAACTGATGACAATTTTGATTTATTAATGCCCGACTTTGTCTTGTGCATCCGTGATTTTACTCTTGATCTTGTAATAGACGGAAAAGAGTGCAACGAAGACGAATATATTGAGCACTGTCTCAAAGAAAAGAGAACAGAAACTGGCAAGTTAGACCAAGCATACAATAGACCTAGGCAATGCATAAAAAAGTATTTTACAAATCGAAAAGCGTTCACCTTTGATATACCAGCACAAAGGCAGACAATGAAAAACCTCGCACTGGCTAAAGAAGAAGCCCTTTCCAGCGACTTTGTTTGTGAGACGAAAAAGTTTACAGAATATATATATAAACGCCCAGTAAAGATGCTGCAAAATAGAAAACCAGTTTCTGGACGCAGTACGTAAATATTGACTTTTTTATGATATATCACTTTGAAATTAGAAAAGCTTTCCAAAGGTATTAAAGTTGCAGGCCTCCAGATAAGCCAAAATATTTTAAGAAAATAAAACTTGAAATAAATGTTCGAATTTTTTAAGAACAGGATTCACATGAAAATACATAAGCGATGTATTTTTTATCACCATGCCCTTACCGCGTGATAAACGCAGTTAGGATTTTTTCTTCATACAGTGTATTTTGACCTTTCCTACTCTTTTTTCATAGTTTGACTCTTCATCTTACTTTAGGTGATTGTAATTGTCGTTTGCAGTGTTTAAATTACCTTTTTATTCAGTTAACAATATTTTACTTTTTAAAACATTTATTTTAAATCATGAAAATTCGCATGATTTGGAAGCATGTTTATGAATTTACATTACACGAAAGTTTCATTAAATGTGTTAAAATATATTTTGAGAGTTTCAATCAGTTTCATTGAGTGATTGAAAACATAACTTACGCCCCTGGGCACCGACTTGAGCGGCATTCAAAATTGAACACGTAAAGTGCTTGAATAAATGATCGCGAAGAACTGGAAAAAAATATGACATCACAGAAGGGTAGCACTAAAAGTATCTCATAAAGCTAATATTGATATGTTAAAGATATAAAACATTTAATTAACTTATTTGTTCTTTGATTCCATTTTTTTCTTATTTCTTTGCAGTGTTACAAGGATTACTGGATTGTTTTGTAACATCCGTTAAGATCGGCGCAGTTCCTTGTATAGATGATGCTCTCACCATTATGTCAAAACAAGAAAATGAAAAACATGCAAAAGATGCGATTGACAGATTCCATGATGAGCTTGGGAAACTAAAAATGCCTGTTGGGAATAAAACTCAACTTATAGAGAAGAAGTTTTCTTTCCAATATTCCATTCTCGCTGATTTGAATTCGAAACTGTTGTTCGATGAGGATCATGTTGTAGAAATGGCTGTCAAGGTAACATATTTTGTTTCCATAAAGAAAATCAGTGTTTAATTTACTGCATGTTGATTACCTAATTGATTTAGAATAATATTAATTATGAAATAAGCAATTTATTAATGGAAATGATAATCTATCTCGATGTTTTATGTAAAATATATGTTGAGCTTACTGAAATGTTTATTACATTAAATTTGAAATTACATAAAAACAGATTCCTTTTCAAATATCCTAAATTATAAGAACAATTGCTTCCCTTGTTTACACTTTTGTCTTGACAAAGTCATTCAAATAGATCGAATCGAATCAGTAAGGATAAAAAACAATAACATTGATGAGCTTATACTTCTCCGACACGGACTAGTTACAGTACGGGGAAAAGATATAAACACTAGATACATTTTATTTACAGACCAGGATGGCAATATGAAAACAGATTGTACTGTTTTAATGATGCGTACAATATATTCTTTTATTTCGTATTATTTGTTAGGTTTTTACTATAATTTATTTAAACTTGTCTGATTTCATGATAACTTTAATCTATAAGATGTTTAAACCAAATAAATGCAGATCTTGTTCATAACTTCTTTATCTGATGCTTTTTCATCAAAAGTTAATTACTCTGATTCACCGGAAGAAACTTTTCCATTTTTTTTAAAACAAAAGATAAAATAATAAAAACGATTTTAATATAGATACTCCGTATAGGATTTAGAGGTAAATACATGGCAGAGTAGGACCGGAAGAATGGGTAATGGTCTTGATGGCCGATTATCATTTTCTGATCCATTTATGACGTGTATTAACGACTTTAACACATTTGATGGATCTAACAGAAGAATTATATTTAAAAATTACTATCATATTTCTTTTGTTTAAATTCTTGCCACTTTATATTTCTACAGGAAAGTTACTTCTTCATAATACATATGAATATAGCTTATTCCATCACTGCATGTCAAGAAAACAACGTTTTCATTACAGGGCCATATAACAAACGCATACTCCGATCATCTACTAAATATTTTGTACTCGAGAGTTGAAAAAGTTAAGCGAGCAGAGGACATAGCTCTAGGAAACGTCTTTTGTTGCTTGTAACACAAATTTTTTAGCTTGCATGAATACCTGCTCAATATTCTCCATTATTATGTTACAAAAATGTCCCATGTTGCGATTTACTCTCAATAGCTCTGCTGTAGATGATACTGTTATCAACAGTTTTAAAGTTTATTGGCAAATCGGTGCAAAATCCTTTGGTCACACACATATATATAACCAATTGTCAAGGGCTTTACGGGATATCGGTACTAACTGAACAAAAAACAACGTTTCATGAAATGAACATCATGAGCAATGTAAAAAATACACCGATGGTATTGGATGTTTTGAAGTTCAATATCATTGCAACAAGAAAAACGTTGAATTAATATCCTTAACATTTTTGTAAAATAAATTCGGAAAACATCTTCAAATATCACCTTGAAAGTCCGTGTTGCTATGTTTAAGGTAAGATTATCTTAAGGTAGCACGAATATTCATTTGTATTAAAATTTAATTGATTTTCTAGTGCGAATGTTAATAATTTATTGTCAAATCTGTTATGATATATGACAATGCAAAACATTTTTTAGTTATCCAAATAAGTACATGTGTACAAGTAGTATGTAGCATTTTACATAGTTTATTATATATATTGCACTTCAAATGCCTCTATAAATTATTTATTCAGGTTGCATTACAAAAAAGATTTCATGTTTAAAATATTCCTCATCTATCTTATTTTACGTAGAGTTCTTTTCTTTTAGTTTGAGTATAATTTTATTTATGTCCTTCAATTTCGTTGACTTGAATGAACTTTTCCCGCATAAATGTTTCTCTACATTAAACTGTGACTAAAATGTCGCCGAGGACATGAGAGATTTAATCTCTTATGTCCATACTCAATAGTCTGCGATTTCATTTTTTCCTTGCATTCATTGTTGTATTTCTTAAATATACTGCGATTTCTTGTGTTCCAATTACAAATTAGATACGCTTTTATAATATTATTCAAATTAATAACAAATTGTAGGTTTTTATTAGATAAATCTTCACACATTACAAAATAAACTCTTATTAATTTTGACATAGGGTACAAGTTAGCAACAACAACAGCAAGACAATAATCGTTAGCATTACGTTGTATTAGAGTTAATGTTATTTTAGGCTGAGACGGAAAACATATTCAAGGAATTTGAGGCGAAAAATGACAAAAAGGTTTACGAAAAATGTTTGATGAGAATTACTGACATCTACCAAAAAGTAGAACGCAACATAGACAAGCGGACATACATAGTATCTGGAGGATTCGAAAAATACAAAAGAGATATGCAAAGTGTCGTAGAAATGTACGAAAACGAACAAGACAACGAACAAACAGACCGTATGCAGGTAATTCATATAATATATCATATATATCCATTATAATTAAAATTGGTATGTTATAAGACTTTATATGTATATGTGTCTTTAAAGTAAAAATACCATGGAAATGCTACAACCAAAGTATTATATTATCGTCTTTGTATATTCAGTGGATTATTTCCATTTATTGATATTCTTCTATGAAGTACAAGTTATCTCCAAATGGACATTGCTTAATTTTAAGGATTCAAATTGTAATTTGATATTCAAAGATTACACTCAAAAAGTTAGAATTTAAACTAGTAAAAATAATTCAATTCTTTGCATGATTAAAGAGGAACATAATTGGGGTCAGCATATAATAATTCTAGTTGTCTGCCATTGAAAATAAGTATTTTGCACGTCTTAGGCCATCATTTTAAAGACACTGTTACAAGCAACACCTGATTTTATTTCAAATTTGTGTTCACTATTTTATTTCCTGTCGTTGTGTAAATATTGCTGAAATGCTATGAAACCGATTGTTAACTTTAGTTGTATGTGCGAAATGAAAGACCTTTCATTCATATTATGTTCCTTTGTTGTAGGTAATTGCAGTAAGTTTATTGATTGAAACATAACAATATGTACAAAAAAGTATGTTCAGTAGGTTTGTTTAAAACTTTTCATGACTGAAAATAAAATAACAAAACATGCTTGATAGATAAGAGATTTGTTTTAATTTTGTAAGTTTTAAGAAAATTCTTATCACAAATTAATAAATTTCTTTTTTGTCTCTGAACTACCAAACATATTAACCTTTTGTACTTTAACACTGATGGAAATGAAATGATGACAGAGAAATTGTTATTTCAATGATAACCTTAATAAGAGGATTATAGGCAAGTTACAAAAATAATATATTATATGCATTCTGCCAAGCAATATGCAATTTCACTTATTTATTCTTAAGTAGCCTAGAAGGTTTGTAAATACTAGTACTGACTGTTTCCACTGTTTTAAAAAACAACAAAAGATTTTGCAACGTGTGCAACTTATGATCTTCCAAAACTAAATACCCTTAGATTCAATTTAATTAACTCAGTCGTGTTTCATTTCTTGAGTCTGAAATTAATTTTCAAATCAATAATGTACTCTTTCTGGCCTCTTTTTCATTTTCCTAGTCCGAAATAATCCATATCAAGTCTATATTGTGCTCGACTTTTAAGCGTGAAAATATAATGTTGTGTACAATACTGATTCAATTGGTCTCGCTTATAGCTGAGCCTCGTCCAATGTAGGATTTAGCTATGTACTTGTCCAACTTAAATTAGTATATTATACTATTTAATGTAGTTCAATTCTTGTCTGCCATTTTATGTTATCTTGCCTTCGTGTCTCTCGGAGAATCTCCTTGTTTCTTGATGATTCACATTCACATTTACTGACCGAATAAAACATCATTTATGCCGCGATTATTTTTTAATTTTGGAACTTATTTTACTTTTAAGTATGATTTTGCAGATAAATAAGGCTAAGCGTGATTTTCTGGCGACACGGCAATCAGAAAGTGAGGCTATTATGATTGATGATAAGTCCATCTCATACCAAGAGCAAAAAGGTAAATGTCTGTACTACATATCAATAGATTTTTAATTGTATGTGCGGATGTGTGTGCGTGCTCTTACCCTTACACGTTATCGCACGTGCGTGCGTGTTAAGTTTATTTTCTGTGTGTCTATATGTATTTGTGTTTTGTATCTGTTTGTTATTTGTTTGCTTTGGGAGGTTATTGCCTGTATTGTTCGTTTTCCATTTGTAATTTTGTTTTGTTTGGGGTTTTTGTGGGGGGGGGGGGGGGGTTGTATGGCGTTTCGGTGGGTTTTTTCTGTATTTTTTTTCGAATATTGATATATTGATATAATGAACATATGTTAAGCCGGTGCTAAATAGCGAGAGAGAAATTGCATTTTACATTGCTTCTAACAAAAGCACTCAATCAAACCGAGTCTGCATTTTTGTCTGAATTATTTTTTTGTTTTCATAACCATTATTTTAAAAATTTAAGCATTGCTGATATCATTATATTTTCTGTTAATTTTACTGTAAAGTTTTGTAATTATTTACAAGTATTGCATATCTTAACTTGTTTCGTTACAATTTCTCTTACATAAGTTGCACTTGTTTCTCACAAAAAGGATGTAAATTCTAAATGCTTTGGTTTATAAAGTTGAATTGGAGAAACGACAGAAAAAGCTTGAAGCTGATTTTAAAGAAGCACAAGAGAAGGCACTTAAACATTCTCAAGAGGAACTTGGAAGACAAAGAAAACAACACGATGAACAATTGGCTATTGTTCGAAAGGCACAAGAAGAAAGAGAAGCGGCAAACAAAGCTGAATTCTTCGAAGAAAAACTGGCTAGACGAGACGCTGAAATTAGTGATATGGCTAAGAAAATTAGACTATTGGAATGGAAAAGCAATCTTGAATCGGCACAACATGCACAACAAGTTGTACATGCACAACCTTCACAATCAGCACAATTGGCACATTCGCGCAAGAATGATTGCCCATTATCTTAACTGTAACGGAGACTAGGGATTATCTATGTTGAAATAACCGTTTAAGATATTGCTATATACTTTTGTTGGTAGATGACATTTTAATTGAAATATTATTGTTTGATGCACCCTATAGTCAGGGTAATAACATATATAATGTTTTATTATGATATTGTCTCCACTTACTAAAACGTTTTACAGCTGAGCTTCCGTAAATCACATGATTTGCAACACTATAAAGATTTACATGTCGGTTTTGAATGCAGTGCATTTTTCAGACTTCACAAGACCAATTTAAGAATTGTTGCTATATATGAACAAAAACCGTAGCAACATTAATTTGCAAGGTCACACAGTATAAATGTTGTTTAGACTTGGTAGTCATATGAAACATCAATCGCTTCCCTTCATTTTTCAATATTCTTACAATTTGACTAAATGAACGCAAGTTGTTTTTCTTAATTGTTTTCGATTTAAAGAACGCATACATTTTTTCTTTATTCATAGATTATTCTAATGTTTGTTTTGTATCTATTCAGATTAACTATTATGCAGAGTAGAATGTAATGTTCTTGCTTTTTCTGTTGTCATTATTTGATTCGATTTTGATTCGGGGTGGGAGTTGATGAGCTTTCGCGAGTAGCGCACGAGTGAAAATGCTGTTTCTGAAGCTCATGAGGTGATATAAAATTTCATTTTAAACAAAAATTTCTTAATAACTACCTTGAATATTAAATTCTGTTTTCCACATTGCTCAATTTTAGACAACTTTATCAAAATAAATGAAGACTAGAGCTAGGAAGATTATGTACAAAATGAGCATTAGATGGCGATGATGACATTAATTTTAAACAAGTAACATAAACGATCGTTTGCTTTGAAAATTAAGATTGGATCCTGTAACACTTTTTTTCATGGTTTTATTTCATAAATATGATGCTGAAATTAAGATTTGTCAATATTGTTAGTTCCAACAAGCATTATTTATAAAGATATTACTGAATTTAACATTTCATGTAAATAAAGGGAGGTAATCAGAAATTTATATTCTATAAATTCTAAGTCAAATTTTCCAAAAAGAAAAGAATTCATATAATTTATTGATATATATATATTTATTTAAATATAATGTGCACAAATATTTGCAGTACACATTTAACATATTCTTCGATGTTTGAAAATTGTTTTATTTTGCATAATTATATACAAATATACTGTTTTGCAAGTGTGGTATATACACAGTAACAATATCAATCACAAAACATACATGATTTTTAGCAATTCTATAGAATTTGGCGTGAAACCGAGCGTAGTGATTTCAATCCTCCCAAAGTGACGGATTGTCCACCATTCATAAATTAGTGTTTGGTGCCATAAAGTTATTATATGTGACTGCATGGGCTATACTTGGATTTGAAAGTTTTAAACGGAAACTTGTTCGAGGGTTGTTACAAACAATAAATAATTGTTGACAGATTCGTATCCGTTACAGAAATGACTAGGAATTGGAAAACATGAAATTATCAATCACTCTATACGTTTTGATTTATTTCACAGTTAAGGGTGTAAGCAAAATAACGCTCAAAACGGCAAAACTTGAAAAGGGGACTTTAAAAAAAGAGATGATATCTATATCTAAGAATTCAGAAAACAATTGTTTAAGTATAAATTTAATCGTTATCAATTTCAAAAAGTAAACATCAGAGGCAAAATTTTCATGAAAGGTGTTATATGAATTGTTATGTACTTACATATACTCTTCTCGTTCGCGACGTTGTCATTTTGACATAAAAATATTCATGTTGAAAACAGATGCTGTAATATTTGTTGCATTTGAACGACAACATAAAAATTATCCTCCAGTAAACATATGCACTCATATTTGTTTGTAGTTTTGTTGAAATGTCCATTTATTGATTAAATTGTGAAAACCTTATTCACATTATGATATACATGCATAAAGTTTTGCATTGCATGTGATTTAGTCTATACATCTTCTAACTGATGCATATTGACAAATGTGGTTTACTGTAATTCCTTTACAGCGCAAAACCATTACATTCATTTTTATGTTTGATTTGTTTTGGTGGCTGTGCCAAAAAAAGACACAGTTTTACAATTATTTCTATGAGCAATATATTAGAACAATAAATATTTTATATCATATAATTTTTTATATATGTTTAAAGCTAATTGCTAATAAAACATTTCTCAATATCAAATCTCTGTGTGTTCTTTTCTTTAATTTTCTTGTTCATTTAGTTCTAATTTATTTCCAATTTCATTGTCAAATGGCATTCAATAGACCTTTTTTTAAATCTAAAATCAATTTATACTTACCTCAACCACCACTAGAGTCTATAATAATATACAATTGCCAGTTTTTGTTTACTTCCATCGGAACTTAATCATACTCAAAATCAGTTCGTATATTTAAATGTTCAGATAATATAACTGAAACCTGATACCTTTTTCCAGAATTCTGTATGATTGAGTCTGTTCGTGGACGGTTATGTAAAGTGCAAGTTACCGTCGACGCACGCTAGCACCGGCTTAAGAATAATTCAACATGTAAACACGAAAATGGTGAAACTTTGAATTTAAAAACATAATTATGTTTTGCTACATAAGATAATTTATATAATTTTCATTTTTCTCGATAAATGTTACGCACAAAAGTGCGTTACGCTAGCTACGCTCCTGGTCAGGCTATCGTACAGGAATGTTGAGAATATCATCATAAATCTTAAATTTACATATTTTGACTTTCATTTTATTTTATTTTGTTACAACAGGTTATTGTACATATTGATAGTCATTTTACTATGTTCGTTGATGTAATTTTACGATTCAACAATATCATACAAGAAAATGTAATCTGAAAAAAAACACACACAAAAAACAACAACAAAAACCGCATCATTTTTAAAATACCACAATAATTTTAATAATAAAGATCGCGATATTGAAATAAGACGTGGAATGGTCTAAGTTTGTGCTACCAATTCATTTCCGACGGTTTTCATGTTTGTACTATCCTTGATTTTCTTTAGGCTGCTAGGCTGCTAACTTCACAAGTTTTCAAAGCGTCAGAATGAAAATTAAATATTTCAATATTTTGAAAAATAAAGATCCCGATATTGAAATAAGACGTGGAATGGTCTTAGTATGTGCTACCGATTCATTTCCGACGGTTTTAATGTTTGTACTATCCTTAGTTTTCTTTAGGCTGCCTGGCTGTCAGGCTGCTATGCTAGACTGCTAACTTCACAAATTTCGAAGCGTCAGAATGAAAAAAATATGTTAAGATAAAGTTCAACATCTTACAAGATAAAGATCACGATATTGAAAAAGAGGCGTGGATTGATCTAAAGAAGTGTTACTGATGTATTTCCAACCGTTTTCATCTTTGTACCACTCTTGGTTTTCTTTAGGCTGTCAGGCTGTTAGGCTGCTTACTTCACAAATTTCGAAGGGTCAAAATGAAAAAAAAAAGTTCAATATTTTAAAAAATAAAGATCGCGATATTGAAATCAGACGTAGAATGGTCTAAGTATGTGCTACCGATTCATTTCCGACGGTTTTCACGTTTGCATTATCCTTAGTTTTCTTTAGGCTGCTAGGCTGCCATGAAGAAGCACATTTGTCTCGGAGCATATTTTTCTTACGTAAGACCGATGCGGTCGCATTTGTCCCAAATGAGACAAATAGGACCTCAAATGTCTACCTAAAAAACTCATTTGTTTGACAAATAAGCTCCGATCAAGAAAGCACATTTGTCTCATGTTTTTTAATGGACAAGAAAGCACATTTGCCTTATACATACTTTTTTTTCGAGGTTCGTCGTTTTACCTGATGTCAAATGTAATCAACAACTTGTTTGCAAATGTTGTTTTTTTTTTATAAAATCTTAAACATAAAACCTACAATGGAACTTTCAATTCTAATATCTCTCATTCAAGAAATATGATTGGCTAAAGCTGAAGGCGAACACTGAAACATACGGAATCCCGTTCACGATGATACAATGGTAAAAGCGCGATGACACAATGGCATGATGATGAAAACGCGATAAAGTGAAACAACGAATGTACGATGGTAAAACAACAATGGTACGATAGTGAAACAACGATGGCACGATGATGAAAACGTGATAGTACGATGGTGAAAATGTGATGGTACGACGATGAAACTGCAATGGCATTATGATGAAAACGCAATATTATTTTCATCATCGTGTCATCGCATCATTGTGATTTCACCATCGTGCCATCGTTGTTTCATCATCGTTCCGTCGTTTTTTCACTATCGTAAATTCACGCTTGAAATCACCATTGTACCAACGTGTATAATGGTTTCAGGGAGACAAAAATGTTACGGAACACCGTAATCAGGCGATATTTGAACGATACAATATCGTGACTCGTTTCGCATCTCGCCGGAATCTCGCGTCTTGCTTCGACGCGAAAGAAACAATATACCGCTAAATAGTATCCCATTTATATTTTATATAAAACAAATCCTTATCTCATTTGTAAAATTTCGTGGTACGGGATACTTCGTCATTGATAGATCTCGTGTAACAATATCGTGCCTAGCTTCTGGTCTCGTCGGAATGTCGTGTCTCGCCGATTCTGCGAGGTCCGATATTCCATAATTATTGCATTACCCGGATTCTTTTAGGAACTCATGCAAGTTGTAAGTGCTTTTTTCAATGGCGGATATGACAGCAGCACTTCTCTGAAAATGGCGATATTTTTTTATATGTGTGGGATGGTCATATCATTTCCTTCCTTAGATCATTTAGTGGTCTCCGTGGCCGGGTGATTTCAAAAAGAAACTACTTGCCCCTAACCGCTGTAGGTTTGATACTCACTCGGAGCGTCGTACTATTAATGCAAGGGTCCAAATGCAGAATATCTATCCGCGTGCGCACGTAATAGTTATCGCGTGCGCACGCAATAACTCTTCCTTTCGAACTAACAGCTATCGCGTTCGCACCTACAAGTATCAAGTGGCCA